CCCCAAAACCCCAAAACCCCAAAACCCCGAGAGCTAGATTAATTACAGAGTATGGTGATTAATTAAATGAAATAGATATATATATATACTATATTTCAGGTATTACTAACATAGATTTTTTATTGCTAAATGCTATGAAGATTATAGCATTAGATTTCTCTAGTATATTTTATAAAATTGATTAAATTGCTTTAGAATTTTGAAGAGGTGTTTAACTTTTGAATTTTAGAGATTTGCCACTTCATGCAAGTCTATCATAAGACAATACTCTTTACCTCTCTTTGCAGAGATTTCATAAGACTATATATCTCTAATGATTATTTTAATTCAATTCTTTCTCTTCATTTATCAAAATGTACTCTTAATTCCTCTTTTTGACATTTTTATTGCATCTTCTAATTATTAATCTCTCATCATATAATTACTGATTGTAGTAACTAATCATAATTCTAAACTTTCTATTTCTTTTGAGTATACTAGTAATCTTGAATTTATTATGCATGAGTTTCGAGAATCTTAGAAAGAAAGTTGCATTTTTATAATAATGTTCTATTACTATATCAGCATTACTCAAAGTTTAAAATTTTAAAAGTTAAAGGATAAAACATTTAAATTGAAAATAAGAATGTTTAGTTTAAAAGAAAATTTTTCACTTTAATGCTTATTTAATTAATTAGAAACGATAGTTTATTCAGTCATTTTTCCAACATGGATTATCTAGATCAGGAAGTTAAAGGCCTTTACATTCCCAATATCTATTGCAACTATGAAGGATAGATGGACATGCTTTAAAATGCTAGTTCCCATCTTAATTTTGAACTAATACGTAAAAAGTGCAGACGCTATCACAATCAGTGAATTAAGCGATGATTCTCAACTAGTCTGATTATTAGAGTTTCTCAATTGATACAGCTTTAGATTTAAGATTGAGCTTAACTGCCTGACTTGTAAAGATCAAACCTAGAAGAATGAGAACGGTTGTGAGGAATCGCATTAAAAATAAATTATAAATTTCTTTACAGTTTTTCATAAATAGGATTTTAAACCTATCTCTTTAAAGTAATAAGAATTTTAAATTTAAATTTTAAAGGCAGTTAAAGAAATGTCTTAAGGGGTTTTGGGGTTTTGGGGTTTTGGGGCTCAGTTAAGATACCAGAAGGAACTAAATGAAAGAGACT